TGTGTGTGTATGCGCGCGCGCGCGTGTGTACACGCTCCTGTCTAGATGTACATATACATATACACACATACATATACAATAATAATTTTTAAAATTGCCCCAAAATAAGTACCAATACTATTTCTTTATTGACTAGATACACCAACAGTTATAGAAAAGGGGAAAACAGAAATGCACTTATAAACAGACAGAAATGATAGCCTATGCAAGAGTTGTCATATGGCCATTTAAGTATTACAATTCTGGGACAGTTCAACCTGATATCATTTCAGATAAGAGGGATTAACATTCATTATCATTATAAAAATTGAACTTCCAAAAATCATGTGTTTCAAGCTAATAACTGTCCATTTCCTGATTCCATAACAATAAAGATATAAATACCAATTCACTGCTTATTACAAATGAGAGGGAAGAGAAGAGCGAGACAAAGAAGAAGACAGAGAGTGTAAGAACAAAGAGAGAGAAAGACTGAACAATAAAATGAGAAAGAAAAGTTAAAAGGAAGATGGAGAGTGAGAGAACAAGAGACAGAGATGATTGCACCTATATTTCAAATGGTTATGACCTCAATGCAAAGGTAATAATTAACAATCAAAAAGTGATGTGCTTTCCTCACCTTGCTGTGTCAACCCATCACTAAACATCTGCACATTTGTCTAATGAGCAAAGTCATACACCTATGAATTTCAGTAAAATTGGAAATCTATTCTTATTATGGTAGCTACATCAATGGGAAACACTGCTATTGGTTAAATACAATTCCACGTAAAATATGTTACTGCCAAAGCAGCAACTTCTTTCTGAACAATGATATATTACCTAGCCATACTAAACAATTCATCCTTTAATTATGGGGTCATTGGAAGCATAAGGAAGAGACTCTAAGAACACATATTTTTTCTTGTTTTTACCAAATGATCTCTATTCGTTGTGTTAACAATACCTCAAGTCTATCTGCATAAATCATATCAGGACATTTTACATCAATGGCTATCTACAAAATGGATTACACTTTGAAATATGCATAATGATTTCCCCCTCCCCCCTCTAAAATCCTATGAAAATAATGGTTATGTCTCACACATCTATTTCCAACTGACTGAATCTTAACAATACCATCTTCTGCTTCACTTTTACACACTTAGAATATCTAATAAATTTCTATAATTAATCTGTTTCAACAACTGGACCAACATAATAATCTTTATATTTTTAACAACTGTCATCCTGTTTCATTTGAGGGTTTGTGTACTAGTAAGCCTAAACATTACAAGAACAAAATTTGCAATACAGCACTTTCAGTTTGCTAACACTACATTTATTAGTACCATTCTCATTAGCAAATAGAGGTAAATAAAAAACAAAAAAAACAAAAAAACGAACAAACAAACAAACATAAAATCTCAGAAAAGTACCACATGGTGGAATGAATTTGTTTAAGTACCTACTACAAAATAAAAGAGAAAATAAAAATAAATACATTTATCCATAATGGAAACATAGTACAATATTTTGTTAGTCTTAATTCTACGGTTAAAATATATACTGGATAAACTTTGTTAAATGTTGCATGTGATATGGTCTCCCACTTTTACATTCCCAAGATGAAAATGTAAAATGGCGTACAAACTGATTATTTATTTAACAAATAATAACCATACAAAAATGAAAAGGAGTCAATACAACATGATAAACTATGTGAGAATATAAATTAGATATGAAAACTCAACCAGTAATGATTATGTTATGAGAAAAAGCACTGGTGTGTGTGTGTGTGCGAGTGTGCGAGTGTGTGTGTGTGTGTGTGTGAATATGTGTATGTATATATGTATGTATGTATGTATGTATATATGTATGTATATATGTATGTATATATGTATGTATATATATATGTATGTACGTATGCATGCATGTATGTGTGCTTATCTATGTGTGTATGTGTGTGTATGTGTGTGTGTGTATTTGTGTATGTCTATATGTTTGTATATGTCTGCAAGTCTGTGTCTTCTGTGTGTGTGTGTGTGTGTGTGTGTGTGTGTGTGTGTGTGTGTGTGTGTGTGTGTGTGTGTGTGTGTGTGTGTGTGTGTGTGTGTGTGTGTGTGTGTGTGTGTGTGTGTGTGTGTGTGTGTGTGTGTGTGTGTGTGTGTGTGTGTGTGTGTGTGTGTGTGTGTGGAAGGGGGTAGGTGCATGTATTTATATGTGTGTTAGTGTGTGGAGACGTGGATGGATGTATGCATAAATTATGTGTGCAGATGGATGTGGGAGCAGCACTGCATGTGTAAGTGAGGTGATAAGCAAGTGAATATATATATACACCCACATGTGTGAGTAAATGTTTAAGTATGTGGACATGCTTATGAGTGAATAAATGAACATGTGCAAATATGCATATATATATATATATGTGTATGAAAAATCAGGGGTACATATGGCTATACTCTGAGCAATAAACACATATTTTACTGCATACAGTACTTCCAATGACTAGGTGAATAAACTCAAATGATTATCTAACCTTTGATAGTAACAGATTTTCAATTCATAGGAAAAGATACACTAATTTTGGTCTACATTTATGAAAATACATGAAATGGAATCTGTCAGTGATACCCACAAGATGGCATGACATTACTATAGCACTTATACACATATACACAACAATAAAAAATTATGTCATGGAGATATTTGCATTGTATCTTAAAAAGTCTACATAAGTTCACATTTCAATACTAGTAGTACATTGGAGAATAACATACATTATCAGATTTTTTCTCTTTTTTTACAAAATAGAAAATGAATGGTATTTATATAGCCCAAATAGGAGGAAAAGGAGACTTATTAAAGAAATGGGCAAGAGAGGGAATGTGGGAAGGAGAGGGACAGAGAAGAAAGAGTAAGAAAAATGGTGTGTAATTAAGGCAGAGAAAAAGAGAAAAATAGTGAGAGAAAAGAAAGAAAGACAGAGGGGGGGAGAGAGAGAGAGAGAGAGAGAGAGAGAGAGAGAGAGAGAGAGAGAGAGAGAGAGAGAGAGAGAGAGAGAGAGAGAGAGAGAGAGAGAGAGAGAGAGAGAGAGAGAGAGAATGAGTGAGTGAGTGATTGAGTAAGTGAGTGAGTGATTGAGTAAGTGAGTGTATAAGTGAGTGTGTGAATGTGTGAGTGAGAGTGTGCAAATGTGAGTGTTTAAAAACGTGTACAAGTATGTACGTGGACATACATGCCTAAGTATATCTTTTCACCTATTAAAATCTAAAAGAAATTCCTTCACATCCATTTAATGAGAATGCATGAAACTGAATCTGCATATGGACAGTGACAAGGGATTCCCCATTTCTAATCTGACACTACCAAATAAGCCAATTCAAAGACCAAGTTTATCTGCACCCAGTACCTAACAGTTCATCCACAATCTACATTGATATGTTGTTCAGGATATAATGATCACCTCAAATAGGTCCTTTGTCCCTACTCTTCTTGCATTTCTAATGATTTCAGTACAATAGGAAATGCTTTTATATTTGTATAGAAAGTAGAATCACTTTCATATATAAAAATTTAATAATAATTAAAAAAAAGACTCCTAAAATCAAAATCCACTCAATAGTACCCAAAAATTTGGTAGGAAGTTTCCAACCATTCAATTCAAAAAGGTAAATAAATAAGTACTATTCTAACTTGGCACCCTTTTGTGTACCTCCCAAGGGCACAATGCATAACTCCACTTGGTCACAGAACATAGTAAATCTAAACATTTAACTATTAGCAATTCTGTTAACGTGATTAGTCAACAATTAAGAAACTATGCACAGGAGGCCACCATTCATTACATCCACTTCCTAGAAACTGCAGCTACACAATCTTTGTTGACAATAATATTCACAATTATCCTATGACAATAAGAACATATAAATCAAGTATCACTTTTTAAAAAAATCTAATACTGATTTTCATGGTCACATTCTTACTAATATGATCCCTTAAAATGGCACAGAATTTTCTTAAAAGAAATATGAACAAGGATGAGGATGAGCCGAAAATTCAAACTGGCTCTAAACCTTCGTAAATACATCACCTTGTACCAGACAACTATGCGACACTAATGTCATACTATAAATCTGTTTCACATGGCACATCACTAGCTACCTCAAATGTAGTGTTTGTTAACATCTTAATTAAAAACATACTTCCCAAGGAAAAGAAGAAGAAAAAAAAGATAGAAAGAGAGATAGGAAAATAGTTAATATCTCTATCTAATACATTCAAATATCATAACAGATGTATACCCTGACTTCTGAGATATATTCTCTAATGTTATCTAGCACGGAAAAAAGAAAGATAAAACTATTTCTATGCACCATTACAACTATATCCAGGGAAACAAGTTACAGAGGGGGAGGGGGACAAAAATAAAATTCAATATGTACTTATACTGCCACAACATCATAATACATTCTGATATAATCTTGTTCCAAGCAGAGCTAAAAAATCATGGATCACTGTATATCCTATGTCCCATGCCCTGCTATATTAAAATTTCTTTTGTATATTTCAATTTATACATGAGAATCACTCCCCACATGTGATTAAATCTTTACTGAAATAGTATCTACTACCATTGGCCTTTCAAAAACCATTGGAATTATTTTATGAACACATTCTTTTCAGACTGTTTACACTGCAAATGTATAAAGTATATTATGCTTTCTTTAAAGACTTCTGAAGATTAAAATAATTCATCTTTCTTTACATACCAATAATAACTTTAAAGCTCAGTTGTACACCCAGATAACCAGCTAATAAATACAAAATATAGGATTCATCTTTCCAGAGAGAGAAAAAAAAAAGTTGAATGCCACAATGTGACACCCTAGCAACATGTCACCAGAGCCAGCATAGAGCTACCGAGACGGAGCTGGTTTACAATTAAACTGTTGTCTCCCTGAACACATGGATGTGGGAGTCAGGAGTGGCTGCAGGAGAGGTTAGATAGCGGGTTGAGACGATGCCCTGAGGAACACATCTCAGCGTCCCCTGGGCTTGGTCGCTCTCTTCTTCCAATGGCGTTGGCTGTTCTGACACTGCGGCGGTCTCCCCCGGCTCCCTGAGCTGCCACACAGGTTCATCAACCGGGGTTCCATCATCTAGTGAGTGTATTAAAAAGATCTACTGATATATTTTCATAAGCACTACATTTGTCAATATTACCATTACTATCATCACTGCTTTTGGACTAGATACAACTTATTATTATTCTGATGTAGTACTACAATCCTAGTAATACAAAATTAATGAGACCTAATATATCAACTCGTGGTATACAGAAAATGATTTGGCAAACTGTCTTTGTTAGCAGCAAGTGAGGGCAGACTCCATCTGGGGATTTTGGAGGGGCAGGTGAGTATTGGAGGGAAACTACCCCAAAAAAAGAAATGCTGGAGACCTTTACAAACTTTCTGTAGTGCTTCTGAATCAAAGGTTAATATATCCCTCATCTCTGTGCACTTTAATGAATATGATTAATAAATATTTACCCTCTAGATATGTCTTATCTATCTATACACTGCATGACTAACCTCTAGCATAATAAGACTTTGGCTAGTCATGGAATCAGCTGCCACCACTACATATTCATCTGTTAGTGTTCTCTGGCCTTTCCTACCTTTCCATCCCTGTTGACGTTTACTTTACTTTTACTCCCAAATTCACCCACCAGTTATGCCATACTCTGTACTTTTATGTTTTATGAATATCCCACTAATCTGATAAACACTTAGCTTACATGTACAAATCTATTTGAAATTATGAGAAAAAACACATTCCCATTTCTAGAATCACTAAAATAATTAAGATAGAACTGGATGACATACATCGCTAATGATAAAACTGTCACATATTTGTTTGATTAAAAAAAATTCTAAAATATATATTTTTTTTCAAATCTCAAGCATCAAAGCTCTATCTGGGTATTGGGGGAGACAGGACTCTACTTTTCACATATATAAAATGCTAATGGACACTTTAATAATTATGGCTTTAATTTGGTTCTGACATTTATGAAGACAGTTGAAAAGGTAGTCATCTCTGTTAATAGCAACTTGATCAGTAATGTGGAAAGAAAGTGATAATACATTTTGAAAGATGCTTAAATAAGTCCATATCTTCTTGAATGCCTACTGCTGGAATATAAGGTAAACAAATTGGTTAAAACATATACAGAAGAATAAAATATACCTGAGGCTAAGAATTTTTGCTCTGACTTACTTAGAACAATAAATACAGGCTAACATAAAGGACAACATAGTCAGTCTCTAAACAAATTCTAAACATAAAAAGACATGCACATGTCCACATATCACAACAAATCTGAACAGATTTACAATTACAATCTTACTCAACAAAACTGAGTTATAATCTACACACCTAATCCCAGCTCAGATTTGTTGAACATTTAAAAATATAGAGAAAAAAAGAAAAAGGAGAGAGAGAGAGAGAGAGAGAGAGAGAGAGAGAGAGAGAGAGAGAGAGAGAGAGAGAGAGAGAGAGAGAGAGAGAGAGAGAGAGAGAGAGAAACTAAATATATATATCAAAAATAAAAAAAAATTAAAATAAAAAGCCATGAAATAAACAAAGTCTTTAACTTACGGGCAACTACTAGAAGCACTATGTAGTCTAGGTTAAGACAGAACACAACAGCACTGGCCAGGCGAGCGTTCAGACATATCAGCACTGGGTTTGTGGCTAGATTTTTGGCACTTTTTATTATGTTTTGCGGAACTAATATCACCAGAATCTAAGTCTGCAATGTCAAAGGTTGGGGCCTGAGAGACTGTCTCTCCATCTTTAAGTGGTCGTCCCATGCTAGATGCACTGTCTTCACTGTATTGAGTACAACTTAAGCTTGATTCTGACTGATTTAAATGCTTGGCAGAAAGGCGGTCACAACTGTCGGTGAGAAGCAGATTGTTGAGAGAGTGCTGCTCTGTGCTCACCTGTCTGTTGCTTACTTCATCAACTTCTTTGCAATTGCCATCTCTGCTGTCTACACCTGCACTCTCAGCCCCGCTGCCTCCTGAATCCTCCAAAGTACCAGTATGTGTAATTGATGACCAAGAATGAGTGTCTTCAAGATGGCTTTCCTCAGACTGTTGAGGGGGTGGCTTATCCACACTAACACATAAATTAAGCTCGACTGGTGGGTTCACCTGCCCTGCAGTCTCTGCATGTGTGGACTGAACTGATCTGCACTGCAGGTCTGTTTCTCCTGTACCAAATGAAGGGTCAGGCACAGGAACTTCTTCAAACCATTCTTCTGTGGAGGAACTGTGATGGGAAATCAACCTGGAGGAACTTGCTCTGAGGCGAAGTTTAGGAGGAGGATATGTGTGATGCAAACAGCATCCAGTGTCCAAGGAATGAGAAGATATTAAGGGGGCATGATGATACACTCTTGCTAGAGATATTGTGGTGTTGGGTGCAGAGTTTACTCTTTTCAGTAACTGTTCATGTCCATCAACAGCTTGATTGTTTGTACTATTTCCACCAAGCATTAAAAGATTTCTTAAAAGGTCACGTGATTCGACTCCACCTGCTGGTCTGACTGGCTGTTCTCTTGACAGATGGCCACAATGACAATGATGTGAGATTTTCTCTTCACTAGCACCAGCACTACAAACACACTGAGGCACCGAACATGGTCCAGGACTGCAGACACTAAGTGGGGCAGGAGCAACGTCTACCCTTACCGGGTTAACACATGCAGCCGCTTGGCTCATGGGGAGAACCTGGCCTGGGAGAGAGGACAGGGTACTACTGTTGGGGCACACAGACTTGACTACAGGTCTCGGGCAGGCTGGGTATGATTGACACAGGCACCAACCCGCCTGCACAAAACACTGAGCATCAGGTTCATGCACAAAGTTACGGCACGGTGCATCAGGAGAGCAACACGGCACTATACCTGCTCCCACGGCCACCTCCAAACAAAGACCCACAGGCTGCGTATTAAGGAGAAAAAGAGAGAGAAAAAAAAGATTAATCTTCAAATTTCTACTCACATGAAAATCCACTTACCCTGATTTTACTGCTATGAAACTGTAGAATAATGTAACTGACTCCAGGAGCAATAGAAATATAAAAGAAACTGGAGGAATATTATAACCAGCTTCTGGATTACAGCTCATACTGTTTATGAAAAAAATATTGCATAGCATCTATTTTAATTTCACATTCATACAAGTATCAAATAAATCACAAAGCACCTCAGGTAAATGATATGAAACTCTGTAAATATCAAGCATCACTACATTAAGACAGTCAACCATGAATGCACCTAATAGTTGTAAGAGGTAAACAGGGCACTGACTCACAAAAAGGTATACAAAGGCATTCATGTAAATAAATCATATAAAACAATGAATATCTCCACAGACCAAGATATAGACTGGCTTCACTTTTCTATTTCAAAAGATGAATCAAGGAACAAAATGCCACCAATTTCTTATATCATATTGACCATTGAATTCCTAAAAATATATGTGTCAGTTTTTTTAGTGCATCAGTAAAGTTACTAACAAATATATAATAAGTATTTATATTACTTTTACCATAGAGTATCTTCAAATGTGGAAAGTATGTACATTGTGTATGGTATAATCTGTAAAATAATAAATGCTTTCCTAATTTCTTGAAATATGCATTCTCACGGGGGACTGCATGCCAGCCCAAGATATTACATTTTGAAGTAAAAATACAAACATCCAACTGTAATAAAGAAGTGAATATTGTGGGGACAGATATTTTCAACTTAAAGTTTTGAAATTTCAATTATTTCAAACTAACACCAATTGCGAGGTCAAACAAATCAATGAAAAGCTATATAATGAGTTTGAAACTTGAATACAGATCCATTCTTGGAGAAGCCTTATTGAAGAAAAGATTCTTGCTCTGTAGTAATATTCACTTACACAAGTACATTACAAACACACACACACACACACACTCTCTCTCTCTCTCCCACACCCACACCCACACCCACACACACACACACACATACACACACACACACAACACACTCTCTCTCTCTCTCTCTCTCTCACCCTCTCCTTCCCTCCCCCCACCCTCTCTCTCTCTCTCTCTCTCTCTCTCTCTCTCTCTCTCTCTCTCTCTCTCTCTCCTGCCCCCCCCCCCCCACACACACACATGCACACACACACTCACTCACTCTCTCTCCCTCTCACACACACAAACACACACTCTCACTCTCACTCTCTCTCTCCCCTTCCCCCCCCCTCTCTCTCTCTCACACACAAACACACTCTTTCTCTCTCTCTCTCTCACACACACACACACACACACACACAAAAGAGAGCACCTAAGTATATTAACACATCATATGTTTGTAATTAGTCCAAAATATAATAGCAGTCAATCGTATAAGAGTTCTCTTCACCTATAATAAAAAAAACAAGATACTAAAGTTCTTTTCTTGGCATCCATATAATTCACATAGAATATGATATAGTCTACCAAAGATACACAGACTCCTGGGCAACTAAGACTTCATTACTTTTGAGTGAGAAAGAGAGAGAGAAAGAGAAAGAGAGAGAGAGAGAGAGTAAATGGGTGAATGATAGAGAGAGTAAATGGGTGAGTGAGTGAGTGAGTAAGTGAGTGTGAGTAAGTGAATCATTAAGTTAGTAAGTAAGTGAGAGTGTGAGAGGCATAAATCAGTCTGCATGAATGGGCATTCATGAAAAGTACTTGAAAAAAAATACTGGTTTTCATTTGCTAATGAACTTTTCCTTTAGAAAAAAAAAAGAAGTATATATATATATAAAATAAAATAATTCATAGAGCAATTACAATAATCCTTCACTCGATTTATTGGTTCTCTTGCACAGCCATCTCTTTAAAGAAGTTCATGGCCATCAGAAAACTTTTAGACTGGGATTTTATCTAATAAATGTATATGTATGTAAATGTATATAAATATCTATGTATATATGTGTGTGTAAGTATACATACATACACACCCACGCACACACGCACGCACTCACACGCACACACACACACACACATATATATATCTGTAACCTATTGCTCTTTATAATGCAGTGGGTGTATTTGTGTGAATATGTTCTGAAAAGAAAATCTAATCCTTACATCAGAAACAAATGATCAGCATATCTAAGATGTAAAGTAATTCACTAAATATTTACAACAGCAAATCTGACATACTGTGACATGAAAAATTCTGGAGTAATTATCTTCAAAATGGCTAATCTAGGAAACAATTGCTAATGTCATAAACTAGCTTTCTAGAATGATAAGTCAACAAATACCAGTAGGAGAACATAATATTTTGAACTCCATTGGTCCTACATCAATTTTCTTAAAGAACTAAACCACCGTTCCAGCAGCTGACTATTCTGTCAAACAAATTTCTTTGTGAGAAACTTGCTCATCAAATCAACCATTATTCTAAACCCTGTGTTGAAAAATAAACATCACACAAAAGAGTACAGTATACTATAATTACAACTACAATGATTTTAAAATGTCATCAGATCCCATCCTTTCCCCTTTTAGAAGTTATATAAAAAGTAGTAGATCCAGGCAGAAAAAAAACTACAAGAAGCTAAAGTCATTAGGCTCTGCATGAGACATGCAAATTATAGGCAATACCTTAACAGGTTATGCTGATATCCATATACACAGGCTGCAGAGAGGAAAGAAAAGACAGAAGGCTTTGAATTCACCTGCTGATATCAAGTCAAATTTATTAAGACTAGGTGTGCTATGCTACTGTGGCTAAGTGCTGACTGTGGGTAGTATCTTGATGGGTTTTAGCCCAGACATTCAACTAAATTCTCATAAAATACAATCAGTTCCAGTTTATAGCTAATTTAGGTATCAGTAAATATTCTTGAATACTACTCTAGATTCAAGACATTCTGTTGCTGTGCATTTCTCTGCCACTGGCTGAACTGATAACAACAAAAAGCTTATTAAAATATTACTTTTAAACTGTTAGGAAAATTATGTTATATAACAATTCACATCACTTGCAGGAGACAGAAAACAATAAAAAAACAATGTTAAAAGAAACAAGCTCCACAAAATTCAAGCTACTTCTAGTTAAGGAAAGCAATATATATATATATAACTTTATATCAAGTGGTTGGACTCATGGAATGCAAATCAACCAAAACATGAATTTGTACCTTGTCATCATGATTGGTTACGCAAGTGCATAGAAGTGTGATCTAAACCAACCCTGTACATGTATAATAAAAAAGTAAACCACAAAAAGACAGGAACCATCGTCATCTAGAAACTGCCTAGAGCACAGTAAACTACACAATTATGACTACATAAAATAGGCCTGGTCAATTCACACTACAAATACACCTCACTGGTTCTACTTTAGGAGCTTTTGTAAAACAGATCTTTATGGGTGAACAACTGAATGGCCAAGTTCTGACAAATGGGAATAAAATAAAGAGAATAAATAAAATCAACCTTTTACCTTGCTATTAACTAAACTCCAACTACAATGACAAACATATCCAAGTGCACCATGACTACTTTTTGCATGTAAGATTGTATCGTTTCCAGCTCACACTGGTCACCAATAAATGACTTCTTATCTCATTCTTATCATATGCAAAGACAGAATTGTAAAAAAATAACTAAATATAAATAATGAGAGAAAAGACTAAAATATTAAACACTAAACTAACCTTGTGATCACCCATTGTCACATTCAAGCCAATGAGATTGTATGCCACCTTTCCATTACTCTGAAAAGGTAATGAGAAGTAAGTGTTATACCTGGTAAATAAACTCATCAACATAGAATACAAAAGTGTATTCATAGATATAAAATACTATAAAATACTGTTTAGAAAGCTTACAAGAATATCTATATACAGAAATCACCAATGATATAATTACAGCTTAAGCTACATCTGTACTTAACAATCCCCTTTTTGATATATCTGTTTTACCAAAGTGTTGAATATTCACTACAACCACATTCTTACTATTCTTTCAACACCATAATTGGCTTTTACAGTGCAACCAGTTTCATAAACCAGTTCAGAAACTATGTTCAAATGTATCACAATTAAGTTTTCTAGGACTAACAGATATTCCAAAAAAAAGGAATGGGTACATACATTGCAGGTTGTCTGGCCATATGTCCATCTGTGTTTCTCTACTTAGCTACTAACCAAAATTAATTTGGAAGCAATATTGACCTATAAAACACCATATAAAATCAGACCATGATACATGAAAATGACAAAAGCTGCAAATGCTAGTCAAAAATACAATACGCAATATCAGGAAAAGTTACTGCAGACAAGCCCAGCGGATGCTTATAAAAAATACATATATACTTATAAAGTGAACTATATCAAAACCCTCTACACTCACTGAATCCACTAGTTTTTTGGCTGCTTGGTCGAGGATGATCCTGTCACACCAAGAGGGACACCGAGTCTTCATGTAGTGTGAGCCATTGCCACCAGCACCTTCCTCAAATGGATAACTTGGAGGGAAGCTGATTGGAAACTCTGTTAATCTTTCCTTGAACTGATCAATTTCTTGATCAAACTCTTTTAGCTGAAAAAATGTGAACAACTGCATGAACAACACAGAAGAATGAAAACCTTAAGACAGTGTATATCTCTTATATGTGCGAGTTTGAATGTATGCTTGAGTGTCCTTCCTATAACATCAGGAGAGAAAGAAAGCAAGACAGAAAGAAAAGGGGAGGGGGTGGATATCACAAACAGATTACTCCTATGCATACCAAGCTGCCGTTATCCTTGAGAAATAGTGTGTCGTGCTCTGAGTGCTTGAAGGTCTTCTTGGAAATGGTTAGCTGCACCTTGCCCTTGTTGTCCTTGTACTCCTTTGCCTTCTCACCAGTGTTGGGTAATTCAGCATCCTCTGGTGTGCACCCATTTGTCAGTTTCTGTTGGTGCGGAGTGAGAAAGGGGGAAGGGATTAAATTTCTCTAGATTTGGGACAAATTCTTAATGGTATAGAATCATGCACAGAAATAGAAAATAGGTCTCATTCCCCTTTCACACAAAATAATTATGGAGAGAGAAAGAACAAGGAGGAAAAATGGAAAAATGGTAGTACTCTGTAGAATGATGAGAAAGAAAATAGCAGGGGAAAAAAAGTCTATAGACAATTCAGGACTTTGAGAAAGTAGCTGCTTTCTCTAACTTCCTTTATGAAGAAGAAGAGGAAGAAGAAGACAAAGAACCAGAGCAATAACAATTAACCCATTGCCTCTGGGGGAATTTGGGGTGCCCTTGGCCTCCACTCTGGGAAGTTTGTGCGGCTGACTGGGCGTGCCTCCTGGGCCTACTTCGATATCTTAGAGAATAGGATGAGGGTAGGAAAATAGAGTGGGAAAGAAAAGAAAGCAAGAAAAAGGTCAAATATAATATAATGGAAGAAAGGTTAAGCAAAATGACAACCAGATGTGAAAGAAAAGAGCAGACAGAGAAAATATTGAACATATGTAATTATCACTAAAGAATAGATATCTTCTAACAACCTTGACAATCTCAAGAATACTTTAGAAAAACAACAACAACAAAAAAACTCACCTGCACAACCCCATGAGTGTTCACTCTAAAGTTGAAGTCACCAAATATGAAGAGAGGAACATTTTCAAAGCCATCATTGTGGAATCTGTAAAAAAAAATTGAAGATACAGGACTATCTAAACCTGGAAAATACACACAGCCTTATTTCGTACATCATCGTCAGTTCTATGTAATTTATAATAATAAAATATCTTACCATATGATCTACAAACTGAAGGAAAGAGAAGCACTGTAAGTTACAAGTAAAAAAAAAAAGACACAATAAAGTCTTCAAAACATGCAAAGCTCATGTTAAACAGTATCTTAAACTCAAGTATGGTCCCTTTATCTTGATGCTCCCTCCAAAAAAAAAAGGGGAGGGGGGGGAATCTAACAAGATGAAGAAAACATACACAGAAAGAAACAATTATCATTATTTGCTGAGAGAAAGAAAGAGAGAGAGAGAGAGAGAGAGAGAGAGAGAGAGAGTGAGATAGAGAGAGAGAAAGAAATAACTTTTCAACAATAGCCATGTTTTCTTCTTAACCCCTTGGTGCCGGGTATGACGTGTATGTACGTGCTATGCCCACAGTGAGTACTTATTTGATTGTTTTTACGCATAGATGGCAACACTTGTACTAACTCCCCAATGAGCCAGTTACGAGCACCGCCCGTCTCACCCGCTTACCCGTTTCTTTGATTTACGAAATATTTTACGTTATCTTATTTTGCTGTTACTAATGTTAAAAAAAAATATAAAAATTATAATGTTTATGTTAAAAATAACAACATCGATTTTCATAGCACTAGTGAAAAATACGTTTTTCCCGCCATTTAAATCAGGCGCTAGCAGAGCCATCTATCGGCAGACATTTCACGAAAAACATAGAAAGTGGGCACAATATTTTCCCCATTTTTTGTTCATTTTCCCCGGCACCATTGGGTTAAAACCTCCATTGACAACATGAAACAGTTTTGTTAAAATTTACTAAACAAAGGTAGCACTACTTTTCACAGAATCATAACCTTTTCGTTTGTTTACCTGTCTAATGTGTGTTCCAGTGCTCTCTTTCTGTTGAGGCTGTATACTGATGGAAACTGGAGGGGAGAAAGGAACATATGTATATGTAAGGATAGTCATAATTGTCATATATCAACAGTTCTAATACACAATACTCAGACTAATAAACTATACTCATCTGAAAAAAATAATGAACAAAGAATAGTAACTAGATATAGAGACAAATGAAAGATTAACAACATGGCCAATATAGTCTCTTGCAGGAGTTCTCCACACCTAGTTACACTGTGTTATGTGAGGTTGCAAAGTACACCCGCTGCATCCCAGCTGGTAGTCAGGACATAATCATCTTGTCAAATGACACATTCATACCAGTGAATATTGTAGAAGTCAGCTCAAGAATCTGGCCATCTTGACAGTCTCATGCAAGACCGTTTTAACAATATCTGCAAGCAATTGTGCTAACAATCCTGTTAAACCTTCCTTTTGTACCTGACTCTACAAGATTTAACTCTTAGAAGTGAACAGGATGTGCTACTGGAATGACACTGGCATCGCTATATTATACTCATCTTGGGCATAAAAATGTAGCTAATATGCTAAATAATTTGTTAAAGAATATATCAAACTGACCAAGATGTACATCTTACATTCAACATTCTAGACCAAAGAAATACATTTCTGTATAAACACAAAATATAGATAAAAATAAGTAGGCCTCCAAAAAACAAACAAAAAAATAAGCAGGTAACCAAAAAGAAAGAATGAGAAAAAGAGAAAGACAGAGAGAGAGCAAAGAAGAGCTTACCTCCTCCATGGCAATGAAATTTGATGCATCGTGAAATAGATGGATGTTCACAAGGTCAAACTTGGTACCATTTAAACACCATCTCGTTCTCATGAAACCTTTCCGAGACCACTTGCACTGCAAAGAATATTAACAGACATGTAAAAAAATTAAAACAGAAAAGTGTAACTGTAAGAAAGAAAGAAAAAGGACTATCTAAACCTGGAAAATACACACACCCTTATTTCTTGACCCCCCCCCTCCAAAAAAAAGGGGGGGAATCTAACAAAATGAAGAAAACATACACAGAAAGAAACAATTATCATTATTTATTGAGAGAAAGAAAGAAAGAGAGAGAGAGTGAGAGAGAAAGAGAGTGAGATAGAGAGAGAGAAAGAATTAAACTTTTCAACAGTAGCCATGTTTGTTCTTAAAACTTCCACTGACAATATGAAACAGTCTTGTTAAAATTTACAAAAACAAAGGTAGCACTACTTTTTACAGAAT